GTGCGTTACCACACCCAGCTAATTTTTGGTTTATTGTAGAGATGAGGTCTTGCCAAGTTGCCCAGGTGGGTCTCGAACCTGCGGGCTCAGGCAATCCACTCACCTCGGCTTCCCAAAGCGCTGGGATTACAGGCTGAGCCACCGAGCCCGGCCTGGTTTTTTTTCATTTGGAGTCTCACTCTGTCGCCCAGGCTGGAGTGCAGTGGCACACTCACAGCCAACTCAGAGTCAGTCCACTGGGCTCCGGCGATCCTTCCGCCTCAGTCTTCCAAGTAGCCAGGTGCATGCTACCACACCCGGCTAATTTTTGATTTATTGTAGAGATGAGGTCTCACCAAGTTGCCTGGGCTGGTCTCAAACCCACGGGCTCAGGCAATCCACTCACCTTGGTCTCCCAAAGTGCTGGGATTACAGGCTGAACCACTGAGCCTGGCCTATAGGATGGTTTTAAAAACATGTCCAAAAAATCTTTGACGGTTCTTCTATCAGAAGGTGGAGTCAAATTCCCTTCCCCAGCCTTAGTGATTCACTTCTTTTTTTATTTTTAGAGATGGGGTCTCACTATGTTGTCCAAGCTGGGCGCAAACTCCTGGACTCAAATGACCCTTCCACTTCAGCCTACCAGAGTGCTGAGATTACAGGGGTGAGCCACCCTACCCAGCCTGTGACTCACTTCTAATGAAGGGAAAGTGGTAAAAGTGATACTGTATGACTTCCAAGGCTAGGTCACTAAAAGCTACATAACTTTGAACTCCCTCCCTCCCTCCTTTGTTTCTTCCCTCCTTCTGTCTCTGGATGCTTATCCTGGGAACTCAGCCACCAAACCAAACAGCCACATGGAACGGCCACGTGTAGGTGTTCCAACCATGGCCCTCGCTGAGATCCCAGATGACAGCCAGCATTAGCCGCCTGACTTGTGAGTGAGCCAGCCTTTAGATGACTACAGCCCTGCCTTTGGGCCACCCTGGTTAATGCTGAATAGAGCAGAGATCCTGCCCAAGTTGGAGATTCACAAGCAAAATAAATGCTGTCATTATTTGAAGCCACTAAATGTTGGAGTATTTTTTGTTTTGTGTTTTTTAGGGACAGACTCTCTAAAAACAGACAGTTTCCCAGGCTGGAGTGCAGTGACTATTCACAGGCATGATCAAGTACACTTCAGGCTCCAACTCCGGCTTCAAGAGATCCTCCCACGTCCCAAGTAGCTGGGACCACAGGCACACACCACTGTGCCCAGCTAGGATATATATATATATATATGTACGTTCACAGTGATAGATAATTGGAACACCATATTAATAAGTACCCCTGCCTGAGCTCAGGGGTTCGAGACCAGACTGGGAAACTTGGTGAGACCTTGGCTCTACAATAAATCAAAAAATAAGCTGGGCGTGGTAGTGTGTGCCTATAGTTCCAACTACTTGGAAGGCTGAGGCAGAAGGAACACCTGAACCCACCAGGTCAAGGCCACGGTGGCCGTGAGCATGTCACTACACTCCAGCCTGGGCTACAGAGAAACTCTGACTCAAACAACAACAACAACAACAAAACCCTAAATAAATAAATACCCCAGGTGATTCTTAAGATCAGGAAAAATTGGGGGACCTAAATTATACTCTTAAATTTCTTAATGTCAGGGATTAAGTCTTAACAGCTTCCTGTCCCTTTTTTCCTGAAATATCTTTACTGATTCTCTTTCCTTGAAAGGAATAATACATGTTTGACATAAAATTACAGCAACATAAAATACATAATGTAGAGGAGAAAAGGGTTCTGAAGGTTCACCCTCACCTCTGCTCCACCTTAAGCAATAACCCAAGTTAAGTTTAGAAGGGCAGTGTTTTCCACATAGCAGGTACTTAATGGATCTGTTATTAAAGAAAAGGTGGCCGGGCTCGGTGACTCAGCCTGTAATCCCAGTACTTTGGGAGGCTGAGGCGAGTGAAATGCCTGAGTCCACAGGTTCGAGACCCACGTGGGCAACTTGGCAAGACCTCAACTCTACAATCAATCAAAAATTGGCCAGGCGTGGTAGCATGTGTCTATAGTTCCAGCTACTTGGAAGGCTGAGGCAGAAGGATCACCGGAGCCCAGCAGGTCGAGGCTGCAGTGGCCGGGAGTGTGCCACTGCACTCCAGCTTGGGCGACAGAGTGAGATTCCAACTCAAAAAAAAAAAAAAGGTGACACGGTAGATAATAGTAACCACCTATTGGTATTTACTGTGTCCTAGGCATTGTTCCCAGAATTACCCTCTTCAAATCTTTATCACCTTCCACCTCATAAATGTGCAGAAGCTTCCCATTAACGACTCTACCAGTGAGGAAGCTGCCACCTGCCCTGGGCCACTCTCCACTATGGCACCTATTTGAACGAAGTCAATGCACTTGCCATATCTTGTATATTACTCCCACCATTCCTCGAACCTTTGTTGAGTGCCAGCTGTATTCCAGTCACGGTGTTACACACTGGGAAACAGCAAGCAGAAACAGGCCCTCATCTCAGAGAACTCGGGGCCTAAAGCAAGGTCAGCAAAATACTAAATATTTTAGACTTCTAGGGTAATATGGTTTCTGTTGCAACTATGCAACTCTGCTGGTGTAATACAAAAGCAACCACAGGCCGGGCTTGGTGACTCAGCCTGTAATCCCAGTACATTGGGAGGCCGAGGCAAGTGGATTGTCTGAGCCCAAGGGTTCGAGATCCGCCCAGGCAACTTGGTGAGACCTTGTCTCTATAATAGAAAAAAACTTAGCCAGGTGTGGTAGTGCGTGCCTGTAGTTCTGGCTACTTGGAAGGCTGAGGCGAAAGGATCACTGGAGCCCAGCAGGTCGATGCTGGGGTGGCCATGAGTGTGTCACTGCACTCCAGCCTGGGTGACAGAGTAAGACTCCATCTAAAAAAACTCCCAAAGAACAAAAGCAACCACAGTTAATACACAAAGGGGTGTGGCTGTGTTCTAATAAACCTTTATTTACTAAATGGGCAGCCAGTGGCCTATAGTTTGCCCCTGTAGTTTGCACTGTTCAGCAGAATTTTATCCAATGATGAAATGTTTTTGTGCCAATCAATATGATATAAAGTACTAACAAATAGTAATCGGACACTTGAAATGTGACAAGTGCAGCCAGTAGACCAAATTTTAAATGTCACCTAATTTTAATTAATTTAAACATAAATAGCCACATATATAGTGACTACCATATTGGAAAGTGCAGGGACTGAGTGTACTTAATGCTTCCTTCACCTAAATCAAAACTTGACTCAAAGGGTGGGCACAGTGGCTCACATCTATAATTCTAGCACTTTGGGAGGTCAAGGCAAAAAAGATTGCTTGAGCCCAGAAGTTCGAGACCAACCTAGGCAACATGGCAAGTCCTTGTTTTGACAAAAAATAAAAATAAAAACATTAACTGGGCATGATGGTGCGTGCCTGTTGTCCTACTATTTGGGAAGCTGAGGTGGAAAAATTACCTGAGCCCGGGAGGTTGAGGCTGTGATAAGCCATGATCGTGCTTCTGCACTCCAGTGTGGGTGACAGAGTAAGACCCTGTCTCAAAACAAACAAACAAACAAATCTTGCCTCAAAACCCATCTCAACTAGAAAGGCTTTCTGATTAGCTCCTGCCCAAGGTGGTCACTCTCTCTCTCTTAGCGAGACACTGAACTAAGTATCCAGTCCTCATGCCTACTCATTTTGGACTTGCTGACATTTTGCCTTATAATTATTTTATAATGATCTTGTTTTTGATAACTATCATTTGTGCTTGTAACTCTTCCTTCCCCAAACTAAATAAAAATTCAAAGACAGAGAATGTGTCACCATCCTCCTCCACGGTGCCTTGTGTACAGCTGAAAGCCCAGGAAGTGCCCAGCAAAGCCATTTTATATCATGTGCTTCCTTCACCGGACAGGTGGTAATGTGTGCTCAAGACAGATGGTCTTTCTGGATCAGAATCAGCACTTACTTGGAGAATATTTCTACAATAGCCGATGACTTGTTCTTGTTGACCAGAGAAAGTTCTTTGGCTGTGACCCTCAATGATAGTGAAGTCCATTGCCGTCTATTAAATGGAGTTGATTCCATCTTGTCTACAGATACCGGAATACCTATAATACCAATAAAGAAAGTCAGAACATTACACACTGAAGAGGATTCTCCAGCATCCAAGGATTGGCAGCAGTATAGTATGTGAGAGAGAGCAGAAAGCCCTAAAGCTGCAGACTGTGTAACCTTGGTAAAGTAATTAGTATATTTGGGCTGTAGTTTCCTGTAAAAGGAGAAGGTTAGCCGAGAGGATCTCTATGATCTCTTCCAGATTCATCATTTTATGACTGACCCCACTGTGCAAACAGCAACTGGCCTTTCCCTGAACTTAAGTCTGTTCCAAAGTCACATTTGGAGTGAAATGTTTCTCTCCTCTGGATTACCTCCCACGGGAGGTACAATCAGCGTCTCAGTAGAGTCAGGTCCAAATTAGGTTCTACCTCCATCCAAGTTTCTTTTGGCTGCCCGCTCTCCTCAAGCTCTGCGGCACTGGAGACAAAACATGGTATATAAGAAAGGGCAGGACTTTAAGGTGAGATTTCAGTGAAATTGTAACTGTTACCTCAAACAAATTACATAATCATTTCAGTTTTAGTTTCTTCAGGACAATACCTGTCTTTATAGGGTTTTGTAGACTTAGAGAGATAATATATTTAAAATAGGTAATTAGGTATGTTAGAGTAGTATAAGAGCATTTTAAATATAATATAGTATTGGCTCTCATCATAATTCTTTTTTTTTTTCCAGAAGGTGAGAAAGCAGGATTTACTGAGAGAACAGAAAAGCTCCCAGAGCAAGGGGACCCGAGGGTGTTGTCCCATAATTCTATTACTTTAAAGCCTTTTAACAATTAGGGAAGGCTGAGCACAGTGGCTCACACATGTAATCCTAGCACTTTGGGAGGCCAAGGAAGGAGGATTGCTTGAGCCCTGGAGTTCGAGACCAGCCTGGGCATCATAGTGAGATCTCGTCTCTATGAAAAATTTAAAAATTAGCCAGGCATGGTGGCACATGCCTGTTAATCTGGGCAGGAGAATCACTTGAGCCCAGCAGGTAGAGGCTGCAGTGAGTCGCGATTGTGCCACTGCACTCCTGCTTGGGTGACAGAGCAAGACCTCAGGACCTCAACTCAAAAAATAATAATAATAATAATAACCAACCAAACAAAAACAAACAAAAAAAATGATTGGGGGAAGTATAATGTACCTCAAGTTCTAGGAGATAAAGTCTCTATACTAAAATTCTTTTCCAAAATCCCTTTAAGCAAAAAAATCCATAAATCTGTACACCTGTGATATCACCTAGTCCCTACCCATTAGCCTGGATGGTTTGGTTCTTTTGCCCCAGTGATTACCAAAGGAGTGCCAGCCTTCATCCAGAAGAGGTGAGATTAGAAATGAGTCAGTAGTTTCCTTATTTGAAGAGTGAAAAACATATTAAAGTACTACATTGTCTCTAATCCAAGAGTCTTAAAACAATAAAATAAAGTCCTACTGATTCACAGTTTGCCTAGAGTAAAAGAAAGAACAAAGTACTATTTCAGCTCTCCTAACAAGCTCTCCTGACAAAGGCAGAGCGAAACTGATGGGGTAGAAGCTATGGTTCATCAGGTATTCCTGCTTCCAACAACCTTGACAACAGCGGAACACTCAGAGTCCTTTACCCAACAGCTCAGGCTGCCATGTCACACTAAAAGTCCCGTGATGCAAAGGGAGTGATAGGTAGCCCGAAAGTCCACACTCCTTTTCCACGTGTAATACTTATTCTTCCAACGGAAGCCTTGTCTGAACATACTACCAGTTTTGTTGTTTTGTTGATTTGTTTGCTCTAACCTCCATGTTGGAAAGCCACACAGGAAAGAGACTGGTAAGTCTAAGTGTGAGTGTTGGCCTCATCGTGTAAAGCAGTTTTCCTAAAACTTAGCTTTCCCATCCATGGTAATTGTACTTACTTCATAGTATTCTTAAGAGAAATAAAGAAGATAAAGAAGAGGAGGGCTGGGCGAGGTGGCTCAAGCTTATAATCTCAGCACTTTGGGAGGCTGAGGCGAGAGGAATGCCTGAGCCCAGGGGTCTGAGACCAGCCTGGACAACTTAGTGAGACTTCATCTCTACAATAAATCAAAAGATTAGCTGGGCGTGGTGGCTCGTGCCTGTAGTTCCAGCTACTTCAAAGGCTGAGGCAAAAGGATCGCTTGAGCTCAGCAGGTCAAGACGGTGGTGGCTGTGAGCATGCCACTGCACTCCAGGCTGGGAGACAGAGTGAGACTTCAACTCAAAATAAATAAATAAATAAATAAATAAATAAATAAATAGGCTACTGCCTTACTAGACTCTGGTGTGGCCACACACTCTTTGAGCTGTCACCATGTTTCCTGACTTTGGCCCTCTTCCCTACCTTAGGAGGTGAATCTGCTCACACGCTCTCACTCTCTCTCTCTTGCTCTCATTTACTTTTTAAATGAACTATATTTTCTAATCTATAAATAAATCAATAAATATTTAAAAAAAAGAAAAGACAGAAGCAACAAATAATTTGGCCAAGCTTAATTATGTAAAACCACATTAGTGACCTTGTAAGCCAAGTTTAGAAATGCTGACCATCAGCCGGGCTCGGTGGCTCAGCCTGTAATCCTGTGTCTTTGGGAGGCCAAGGTGAGTGAATTGACTGAGCCCGTGGGTTCAAGACCCATCTGGGCAACTTGGCGAGACCTCATCTCTATAATAAATCAAAAATCAGCCGGGTGTGGTAGCGCATGCCTGTAATTCCGGCTACTCGGAAGGCTGAGGCAAAAGGATCGCCGGAGCCCAGCAGGTGGAGGCTGCAGTGGCCAGGAGCAGCGACTGCACTCCAGTCTGGGCGACAGAGTGAGACTCCAACTCAAAAAAAAAAAAAAGAAATGCTGATCATCACTTTAAGACATTATTTTGTACAAATATGCTTCCAACGTAGGTATGGGTATAAATGCTAACAGTTATTTTACAGCAATCAATTCTGGATCAAAGAGACAGAAACATACAAATCTGTTTGCAAATCTGTTTTGATTACCCTTGGTAATCAAAAGGAGTTAATTTCCAAATCTAAGTTTATGGTCTTGATTACCCTCGGCAAGAAAGCCAAGGAAAGTCAGAACATCTATCTTGGGATAGAGCTAGGAGAAGTACACCTTACACTCAGGGAATGAGAGGGCTCTCACCCTGAACACACGTTTCTTCACAGAAGTGTACGGCCATTTCTTAGCAATGTGATTAGTACCCGTGAGACAAAGGCGAGGATCAGCACCAGATGTCTGATGGCCTCTGGTACTAGGTTACTGAATAACTACTTCCTACAGGATGTGGAGAAAAGTCCTTGACAGAATGGTGTATGTAATCTATTGGGCTTGCTGACGTGTAAACAACCACAGCGCAAGGCAGAATATGGTTAGCAGCAATGCATTCATGGCCAAAGAGTACAGAACCTGATTTTCTGGCTTGGTGGGAGGGAAGGGAAAAGACATCAGAATGGGCAGAAATTCGACAAAGGAGGAAAATTAACATTTAGGGAGAGAGTTAAACTCCAGATGCAAGAGAAGTTGAAACCTGACTGAGAAGAGCCTTGAAAACCATGCTCAGGAGTTTGGGCCATATTTCAACAGTGCAAAAAGAAGCCTGAGTAAGCAGAGATGAGTGTTCATGAGCTATTCCTTAGCACGAGCATGACCTTGGCAGCAAATACCAAAAACATAATTTCCCTGAGTTGCAATCCATATTGTTAAGATAAGATCTCTCTAGGCCAGGGGTGGTGGCTCATGCCTGTAATCCCAGAACTTGGGAGGTGGAGGCAAGAGGATTGCCTGAGCCCAGAGGTTCAAGATCAGCCTGGTCAACTTGGCACAAACTTATCCCTACAATTAAAAAAAAAAAATTAGCCAGGTATGGTGATTTGCGCCTCTAGATGCAACTACTTGAAAGACTGAAGCAAAAGGATCGCCTGAGTCCAGCAGATCAAGGTTATGGTAGCTGTAAGCATGCCACTGCACTCCAGCCTGGAGGACAAAGTGACACTTGCACTCAAAAAAAAACCTCTGTAGTGGATTACCCCTAGTCTCTATGGTGGAACACAGAAAGTTTCTGAAAAAGTAAATAATATAATAAATATAATCTTTTAAAGGATCATGCTTGGCCGGGCACAGTGGCTCATGCCTATAATCCCGGCACTTTGAGAGGCCAAGGTAAGAGGACTGCCTGAGCCCACAGGTTCGAGACCAGCCTGGGCAACTTGGTGAGACCTCATCTCTACAATAAATAAAAAAATTAGCTGGGCATGGTGGCACCTGCCTATAGTTCCAGCTACTTGGAAAGCTGAGGCAGAAGGATTGCCTGAGCCCAGCAGGTCAATGATGGCGTGGCCATGAGCATGCCACTGCACTCCAGCCTGGGCGACAGAGTGTGACTCCAACTAAAAAAAAAAAAAAAAAATTAAGTAAATAAATAAAAGATTATGCTTGCCAGCCACAGTGGCTCAAGCCTGTAATCCCAGCACTTTGGGAGGCCGACGTGAGAGGATTGCCTGAGTCCATGGGTTTGAGACCAGCCTGGGCAACTTGGCGAGACCTCATCTCTACAATAAATCAAAAAATTAGCCGGGTGTGATAGTGCATGCCTGTAGGTCTGGCTACTTGGAAGGCTGAAGCCGAAGGATTGCCCGAGCCCAGCAGGTCGACACTGGAGTGGCTGTGAGCATGCCACTGCACTCCAACCTGGGTAGTGAAGTGAGACTCCAACGCAAAAAAAAAAAAAAAAAAAAAAAGATCATGCTGCAGCGCTGTGCATCTTGCTAAGAGGAAGAAAGACTACAGTCTTAATTACTAGGCAAGAAGATCCCAAAAATGTCTAAGTGAGAGGTAATCAAGGTTTAAATCCTTAAGTTAGGGTAGGTGAGAATGGAGAGGTGGGAAGAGAGAATGGACAGTTCTTAGAATAAAATGAAATTTTAGAATAAGAGAAGGAATCAAAGCTGACAATATCAAACTTGAATGATTAAAAGGTTATGATGAAATTAGCCGGGCGTGGTAGCGCGC